TTTGAAACAGCCCTTAGTTCCATAGTGTGGAAAGAAAATATGAATGATGAATGATTATGAATGGTCCACCCTTCTATTAGTTGGGTAACCAAGGTTGGCTGTGTCTAACCAAGGCTGGCTGTGTCTGTAGGTTTCCCATTGATTTTTCTGTTGCTTTTTCTGCTTAGCATTCTCTCATTCTTTCCAGTGTGGCTTCTTGCAGTCTTGAGATTATCCCCAGAAACAGTGTGTATCTGATCTTTTCTTTTTTGCACATATATATGCAGGTGTATGTGCAGATGTGCATATGTATATGTACACGTGTAATATGGAGGCCAAAGGTCAACCTTAGGTGTGGTTCTTCAGGAAGTGTCAACCTTGTTTGTTGAGACAGTGTCTCTCATTGTTCCCCCAGGGCTCTGAGATTAGGCTAGGCTGGTTGGCTAAAGAATTCCAGAATCCACCTGTGCCTGCCTCTCCAGTGCTAGGAGTACAAGGGTGTGCACCACACCCATCTCTTTTAGATGTGAGTTCTGGGAATCAAACCCGCTCCTCATTCTTGTGTGGCAAATGCTTTGATGGTTGAACTATCTTCATAACCCTTTCCTTTTCCTCTCTCTCTCTCTCTCTCTCTCTCTCTCTCTCTCTCTCTCTCTCTCCCTCTTCTTTCTCTCTCTCTCTCTCTCTCTCTCTCTCTCTCTCTCTCTCTCTCTCTCTCTCTCTCTCTCCCCACAAAAACTGAGCCCTTTAACAATTTCATGATTGTATTTTGTTCCCTTTTGCATGCCAGTTTATAGAAAGCCAGAAGATACTGCTTTGGTTTGCATTATTTTCTTCAGAAAACGTGATGTCCATTGAAACAAAAACTTCTAGGCATTTACAGTTAGTGCCTCCTGACTTTTTATCCCTCAGAATTTGACAGGCTCTTTGTCTCTATGTCCCAGATTCGTTGACTCTGAGGTGAAAGTCCTTGTCCTCAGTGGATTGGCCAAGCTTCCTGAGTAAAAAGAAGCCCCACGGTTCCCTTTTGCCAACATCTATTTTTTGCGGTACTAGGTGTTCTGAAGAGGCACAAGGCTGGTGTAGTGGGGAGGTGTGAGGATTGTATGATAAGAGAAACGAGGTTTAGCCTTCTGGTCACTGCTTCCCGGGACACTCGGCTGCATGAAAGGTCATTTATTGAGTATACCACCCTGTGGATTAAATCCTAATTGACAGATTAGAGGAACTGACTGGCCTCAAGTCACGTGATGGATATGTCCTCAGGAAAGATTTGAACTTACATCTGTCTAAAGAAATTTCTAGAAGGCTGTGTTCACCTTCCAGCAAAATGAGATGGGAGCTATGCATCTCCTCTAGGATGTGGCCTGTAGACTTCTCCACTGGTTTGTTTCAGTAGGCTCCCGGTGGGGGGGGGGGGACCTTCCTGGGGTTCTGGGTTGATTCTTTGGTTCTGTTGCTGTTGCATGGTCAGAATGTTGCCCTTCCCCTGGGCTTGCCCCTGAGCTCTGGAAGAGCCTTCATCTCCGTCTGCAGTGGAGTGTGCTGGGTCTGGAAACTGACCTGGTGTAAACTTGTCAAAATCCCTGTGTCGAGGAAAGAAGTGGGCTTAATTTCATTTTATGGGTCAAGAATACATTTTCTTATTGTTTTGCTATTTTGATCCGATCCTGGCAAAATGAAGCAAGTCCCCTCCCCATCCCCCCGCCCTGTGTGTGTGTGTGTGTGTGTGTGTGTGTGTATGTGTGTGACTACGGAAGCTGGAGAATAGCCTTACCTGCTGTGTCTTGTTGCTTTTACACCTTCATATTTTAGACAAGGTTCTCAAAATGTTCTGTATTTTGTAATTTGAGTTCATTGGCTTGGAACTCATCTGGCAGCCTGGCTACTGCCATCTATCCAGCAGCGTGCACCTCCAGGTCTGGCGGTTTTGTGTGGGTTCAGGGAATTGAAGTCAGGCCATCTTGCATATAAGGCAAACACTGTAGTGCCTGAGTTAACTTCCAGGCAAAGGAAGGTATTTGTAACACATTCAGAGACCAGAGACTTCCAGCTAATTTGCACAGCAGCAGCAGCAAAACTCTAAATAAAACCCAACTCCAGCCCTTTCTCTGGGTTCCAGCAAAGTGTAGTGGTCGCTGGAGCTGGGCACCTGCATGCCATCCGCAGTTTAGCTGCCCATCAAGATAGGGTGGCAGGAAATTCAGTTATATATCCAGAAGTGCAAAGAAGTCGGTGAGTGTTCTCAAATGGCTAAACACATACGGGACTGCCGTGACGTCCCTGCCCCACCCCCACCTCCACCCACCGCCCCCCTTGTTTGAGACAGAGTTTCACTGTGTAGTCGTGGATGTCCTGGAACTCTGTAGACCTGAATGGCCTAGAACTCAGAGAGCCTCTTGCCTCTGCCTCCCGAGTGCTGGGATTAAAGGCGTGCGTCACCACCACTGCCTGGCTAGTCCCTGTCCCTTTTGCGTGACCTGGTTATTAAACTGGCCGCTTATCTCAACTGACTATGACAGATAATTTTTAAAAGTTAACTTCTTCTTTGACAATTTCCTACGTGTATTTAATACTAATTCTCGTATACTCGTTCCACTACCCCCTTGTTCTTTCACCCTGACCAACTGACCCCTCCTCCTCCCACCAAGTCTCCATTCCACTTTCATCTTTTTTTTTTCTTTTGTGGCCCCCTGGTCTTAATGAGAGTTGCTCACAGGGGCGCGGTGTGGAGATATCCACCGGAGCATGAGTGAATCACCAGTGGTTACACCACTTCCTGTCCTCCAGCAGCAGCCCCTGACTGTCATGAGCTCCCTCGAGTGGGTCTGGGCCCTGGGAGCCCCTTCCCCATCTGTGATTAAACACTTAGTGGTTCTGTCTCGTGTTTGCCTTCTGCAGCAGCCACAGCTCTCTGAATTCGTGAGTGCCGCCACCACAGCTCTAGCCCGGGGCTGTGTTTTATGGTTCCATCCCTGGTGCCTGGCTGGCACATTCTTTCCGCCTGCTTTTCCACGGTGCTCACTGAGCCTTGAAGAGGGTGATATGGGCATCCAGACCAAGGCTAAGCACTCACAGTCACGTGTTCTCAACACTTTGCCCAGCCTGAATCTCCGCATTAACCAGCATCCCTTGCAAAGAGTACTTCTTTGCTTAGCCTGAGGGAAGAACAGTAGTTTATGGGCATAAACGTAAATATTTAGGAGGCTGGGAAAAATATGTTTTGATGCCAAGCACATTGCCCTCACATAAAGTATTTTATCTTATTCTAGTTTGAAAATTTTTTTCTAAAGCAGTTTTTTTCCCTTTTCATATCACAGTGCATTATAAATGTTACTCAAAATGTTATTAAACTCAGTGACTTTTTCTCAGGGCTCCTTAACTTTGAAGAATCATTATTATTGTGTATAAATGACTCATCATATTATGTACCTCAAGCAGTTTTTTCATATTCTCAATAATTGGAAAGCACCAGGAGAAAAGCAATAGGAAAATTAAATATGTGGAACATTCACTCTGCGAAGAAAGAGCTCCCAGCTTGATAGGCGTTACTCACGGTTTCTGTTTAGGATATGTTTTGAAATCTGTTTCTCTAATGATTTGTGTGGAAGGTGACCTTTTCCTGTTGTCACGGGAACTTCTTAGCAATGAGAAGCGGTTAAAACTGTAACTAATGTTGAGTTAACATCCAGAGGTCCCGGAAGCCAAACTGTTTAATGTTCCGGTTTGATTCCCATTTTGCCTACAGTTCATCCTGAGCAATCTCCCAATAGGAGCAACTGAGCTCACAGATACCTGTGCCTCAGTCTTCTGGAGACCAGAGTGACCTCTGAGGCTCTGGACATACATCCCCCGGGGGCAAGTTTTGGAGATGCTCCGCCTATTCAAGGGCATGGGCCCACATGTGCACATGCTACATTCAGTATCTCAAATACTCTTTCTGACTTGAAATTCTCTCTCTCTATGTGTGTGTGCTATGAACATTTGTGTGTGTGTGCATACACTTGTGTGTATATGTATACATGTAGAGGTCAAAGGCCAGCACAAGGTGTCTTCCTTGTCATCTTAATTTTTTAAGCCAAGGTCTTTTGCTAAACTTAGAGGTTCCTGATCAACAAGACTACCTGGTCAGTAAGTCCCAGGGATCCTCCCCTGTTTGCCTCTCCAGTGCTGGGATTACAAGCATGAGTCCCTGTGCCCAGCTTTTTTTTTTTTTTTTTTTTTTCTTTTTCGAGACAGGGTTTCTCTGTGGCTTTGGAGCCTGTCCTGGAACTAGCTCTTGTGGACCAGGCTGGTCTCTTTTTTTTTCTTTTCTCCCTCTCTCTCTTTTTTTTTTGGTTTTTCGAGACAGGGTTTCTCTGTGGCTTTGGAGCCTGTCCTGGAACTAGCTCTTGTGGACCAGGCTGGTCTCGAACTCACAGAGATCCGCCTGCCTCTGCCTCCCGAGTGCTGGGATTAAAGGCGTGCGCCACCACTGCTCAGCTGTGCCCAGCTTTTTATTGAACGCTAGGCACTGGAACCCATGTCCTCATGCTTCCTTATATGGCAGATGCTTTACTAAATACGCCATCTCTCCAGCCCTTCCAACTTTAAATTCTTAGTATATTCTTGACTATGATTCCCTCCGTCATTCGTGTTTTGCATTGTGCTTCTCACACAATGAAGTACAGGGCCTTATTGCGGAGTCTGGGGATAGGGGTGTAAGTGACAGATACATCAGCACTTGATTGAGGCAATTTTCAGTGAAGGTGGGATGGGGACCCAGTAACAAGGCATCCGAGGACGGGGGACTTGGTTTGTCAATCAAGGGCTTGCTCTGCAAGCATGGGGACTTGAGTTCAAATTCCAAAACTCACATTTAAAAAGCAAACAAAACCCAAAACCGGTTGATGTAGCGTGGGCTTTTAATCCCAGCACCAGAAAGATGGAGACAGGTGGCTGGTTAGCCTAGGTGGATTGGCAGGCTATGTTGAAATAGGAGCGGCGGGGTTGCGTCCCCAACACCCCAGCCGCTTGGATACCTCATGCCCGAAATAACAACACACAAACTGTATTCATTTAAAGAACTGCTTGGCCCATGAACTCTAACCCTTACAGGCTAATTCTCGCCCCTGGACTAGCCCATTTCTAATAATGTTTGTAAGCACGCCAAGGTGCGCTTACCGGGAAGATTCTAGCCTAAGTCCATC